ACGCCTCTATAAATAAGCCAAATGATTAGGCCTAATAAATACAGATAAATTTGAAATAATTTAGTTAATTTTATCCTTACTTATTGTGTAATAGAGTGAATCTGGCGGTAATTTAAATCTGTTCAACCACGAAGCCTCTGAGCTCTAATGGTTATGACACTCTCCTTGACAGATAGAAGTCGCAGGTTCGAATCCCGTCAGAGGAATTTTATTACACAATTTCATTATTAGTTTATTTATAGGACTACATTCGTTGAGAGCTATGCTACATGATGTATTATGTCCTTTATTTGAACACTATATACCTTTCTTTGATGATATATATATAAAATAACTGTGTTAACGGCTACCTTATTTTATATATATATTACGCAATGCTCTGATTTTCTCAACAGAATCCCGGTAAGCATTCCGTACGCCAAATGCCATTGTAGAACATGTCGTACTTATGGATCAGACTTCACCTGTCGTCCAGTAAAACGAACTATGATGGTGGTAAAAAATATTTCTACGGATCAGTTTGAAACACAGTACATCGACGTTCCTATTGCATGTACCTGTGTTAAAAATCTTATGTTATCATAACTCGGATAATGCTGTTATATTTAAATTTCATAAGAAGCCTAAATCAGATAATGTTGAATAAATAAACTTAGTAAGTTATATAATTAAATTATAATTTTAATTAGGCAATATACTTATTTATTAACTGTATTTATATTTAAATGTTTGATATTAACCCATTTGACGTTTTTTTTTTACTTTTGATCCATTGTCTGTAGTTTAAGCATGCGGACTTTCCGTTTTAGGAAATTTCCGATTTACATATTTATATGTTATGATATGTTACGACATAATGTGTGTGTGCGCGTGTTTAAACCTCGCAAAACAAATGTCATTTACTTTGTACAGAGATTAGAATTGCAATTTCAAAAAAAAGTACTACCACAAGGTAGGGGCGCCCTGTTAGACTTTGGAAGGACGCCCTCTAGTTCATGATAGTACTTTTTGTACCTGTTTACTGCTCGTGGGTTGGGGGTGGGGGTGGGGGGTAGTAGACACATTGTTGTCATCTGGCAGTTGAACTTTACGCTTTACCCACATTGAAGTAAAAAAATAATTGTAGGCTAACAGAATTCAAAAACTTGATGAAAACATTTTTTTACGAAAAACCCATACTGCCACAATCCGAAGCAATCATGATTACGAAGCGGGTATCGCGTAGGCTTAACTATGCTGCCATTTTGTTTTGTCGAGTATTTACAAGTTTTCTATTCGACTGGTCGTTTTCGTTAAGTAGGATTTTACCACTGCGCAGGTGGGCGTGGTTTAACGAAGAACGACCAGTCGAATACGGCCAATGTCAAGCAGTAGACACCTATTTTCCTTAATACGATTACGTTCCAAAGAAACCCTCAGAGTCTGACGTACAAAAATCTTTATTTGTCAAAATCTTGCAGTTTTTTTTTTTGTGGTTTTTTTTGCAGTTCTATACTCGTCTTTGTATTTGAAAGTAAATCGAACTTGAAATTAACTTTCCAATTGAATAAAGACTTGAAAAAAGGATCAAATGTTTCTCTCTTTTTTTTCTTCAATTACAAATTATTTGAAAATGTAAATTTTTGCTTGACCCATGTATGTCTGGGGACGCGCCGCCCACGGCAGCCGCAATGCAGCGACACAGTACATGTAACTTAACTGTCATGTAAGCGTTATTGAGGAGTAGAGTGATCAGACATCAAAACCTGACGCCGGCCGAGTTTGAACCAGTCTCTTCAGTGCAAGAATAGGGAACATTACCTCTAAACGCAACAATGCAACTCAAGTAACAAATCAGAACTATTATTTGTCACTGTCCTCCAAACTCGACTTTTGTAATGGACATTCACTATAGTTAGTGTAGGCTACACAATCTAAACATTCTAAACTCAACGTGTCCAAATACAGCAGCTCGACTTCAACCAGGGCAAAACTCGTGACCAATAAAAAGCAGGCAAATACTTAAAAAACAAACATTACTCTTTGCTTTAAAGCTTTAGACTACAGCATCCAAACGTGCTTTTCTGTGGTCACTGGATGACCAATCAATCATGCACAATGCCCCGCCCCCTCCTCCTCACCCCATTTGAATCATTAGTAACCAAATTCATAAATTACAGGTCTCGCTCCAATTAAAGACCACTTTCGTAACTGGACTCTTCAGCAGCTATGGTCTGTAGTGGTCTTATAAATATCTCTTTTCAGATGTAAATTAAGAAATGGTATAGTAAATGTATGATTGTTTTATTCCAATATTAATATTATTTAATACAGTATACCATTTCCCGGTGGGCCCACATCAAGTCCTGTGCTCGTTATACCCAAATCACTATTTCAATATTGCTAAGAACACCGTCCTACTAATTCAATATAGAGCACTGTATACACAAAACATCATCTTATGCTGTGTATTATTTTGATGTATCTATCACAGGCGAAGCGAATATTAGGGAGCTTTTGATTGCACGATGACGGTTAAGACGTAGACGTAATGACGTCACTAAAGTAAAAGTCATCTGCGCATGCGAGAATGTTAAGTCCTCGTCGCGCGGATTCTAGGACGCAATTTGGCCAAATCTACGTACGGTCTAGGACGGTCACACATGTGTGATTCTGTTCTAGCGTCGTTGCACAAATAGAAAGCTTTCTAGTACAGTTACATTGTCTGGGCAACAAGAAGAAATCCCCACGACTGCAATCCCAAACTTCATCCCAATGTGTGTTATCTACCAGTTTTTCTCGACGGGGGGTCCATACCTCAGTCAGAATAATTATTCTTTAAATGGACTGTTTGAAAAGTCCAAAAAGTTGCAAATATATTAAAATTTTCATTTGCTTGGTAGTGAAGTTCATATATTACTTTTAAATATCATTTCTGTGGGTGTGTGTGTGTGTGGGGGGGGGGGGGTGTAGGTGTGTGTTTGTGTGCGCTGAGTGAGACCATACTGCAAATGTGTAAAAAAAACTTAAGCTGCGTTAAAGGACAATTTTGACAAACGATATTATTTGGTGAATTATCCAAAACCGGACAAGCCGAACCTCATATCTTTTTAAAAACTGCATTAAAATTACTATACGACTTTAATGTATTTATTGAATGAAGGTAACATTTTTAGCTGGGTCTGCCAAAATCATGATATTATACATTCAATAATAATGTAATATAATAATAGACGGATAAAACAACATCTCTATGCGCTCGATGTTTGAATGTTTTCTTCAAATTGTTTTAGAATGAATTACTGTATGCTGTTTACTGATTCATCATCAAACACATCTTGCCTTCGTCTTACCCTAGTATCCACATAAATATAGAAAAATACAAACTTGAACGTCCTACTAACACCATTGGTATTTAATATGAAGCTCTGTATACACAAAACATTGGTTTTGATGTATATTATTTTGATGCCTGTAGTCTGTAAAAACACTGCACTAAAACGTTAAACCACTACTGTATATATTTTAGAGGTAGTAGGAAATTTTTAGTTTGGTCTGCTAAAACCATGTCTTTGGTGTCTAAAAGAATCCCTTTAATTAAAGACCGGCACTCATCAGGGTCCCAAGTTGGAAGAATCCACATTCAGGAGACCTGTTTAAATCTAAATATATTTTGCTGTGCATGGTGATAACCACAATGGTTGGCACCCAGATTGGCCCTAACTGCTGGGAGACAATTGATAATACAATAGCTGTCTCTTATACACATCTAGATGTGTGGGGGGGGGGGGTGTAGGTGTGTGTTTGTGTGCGCTGAGTGAGACCATACTGCAAATGTGTAAAAAAAACTTAAGCTGCGTTAAAGGACAATTTTGACAAACGATATTATTTGGTGAATTATCCAAAACCGGACAAGCCGAACCTCATATCTTTTTAAAAACTGCATTAAAATTACTATACGACTTTAATGTATTTATTGAATGAAGGTAACATTTTTAGCTGGGTCTGCCAAAATCATGATATTATACATTCAATAATAATGTAATATAATAATAGACGGATAAAACAACATCTCTATGCGCTCGATGTTTGAATGTTTTCTTCAAATTGTTTTAGAATGAATTACTGTATGCTGTTTACTGATTCATCATCAAACACATCTTGCCTTCGTCTTACCCTAGTATCCACATAAATATAGAAAAATACAAACTTGAACGTCCTACTAACACCATTGGTATTTAATATGAAGCTCTGTATACACAAAACATTGGTTTTGATGTATATTATTTTGATGCCTGTAGTCTGTAAAAACACTGCACTAAAACGTTAAACCACTACTGTATATATTTTAGAGGTAGTAGGAAATTTTTAGTTTGGTCTGCTAAAACCATGTCTTTGGTGTCTAAAAGAATCCCTTTAATTAAAGACCGGCACTCATCAGGGTCCCAAGTTGGAAGAATCCACATTCAGGAGACCTGTTTAAATCTAAATATATTTTGCTGTGCATGGTGATAACCACAATGGTTGGCACCCGGATTGGCCCTAACTGCTGGGAGACAATTGATAATACAATAGTAAAAACTCGTAAAAGCATGCAAATATCATCATAAATTTGCGGGAAATGGTTTATTTCGAGCGATTCTTGCTTGCTCGCAGAATAATGGAATCCATCTGATACCGATTTCCAGGATACTCCATTCCAAGACTGAGCAGGAGACTTTGGACTCCTGGGCACTAATAAATGTGATCTTTAGATTTCTCTATTTAGAGGGAAATTAAAAATTCATACATCAAATGTTTTAAAATGGATGTACGTATACTTACTGCATGCTGTTATTTATTCTTAATAAAACATTGGTAGCCAGACATCACCTTGTCTTTCCATTAATATTAATAAAGCCAAATAAAATAAATTGTTTATTTATCTTTTTTTTTAAATGATAGAGTTTTTTTTTAATTTAATTTTTTTTTTTAAATACTCATCAGATGGAATAAAAATAACCCACAGAGGCCTAGAATGGCAATATCTTACATCAGACAACAACTTTAGACTAATTTGTAGGGCATCTCGCAAAAAATAAAAATAAATTTACTCACATTTTTGTTATTTGTGAAGAAAAAAGCTTTTTTTAAGTTTTTTTGTTTTCCGCCCCTATTTTTTTCAGTGAGTTAGGGGCGGGTGGAGGAGGGCAAACACACAATTTTACTTTTTTTTGGCCTAACATTTCAACTAACATTATCATTATTCTATATACACAAAATAGTGCATTGGCTAATATTTATGTGCAAGTCATATAATATTCAATTGGAGGGAATTTCAATTAGGTCCACCAAAATCACTGTCTTTGGTCTTTAAGTAGAGGAAATCTCTAATTGGAGGGAACAGATAATGATAAAAGATATGCATTCAACCAGGGCTGCAAAAATTATTGAAGGGGTGCAACAGAACATGTCTATTGCCAGGAGTCTACACAGACTCGTGGAAAACTGGAGACATGTTATGTGTCTGATGCTGGTTTGTCTACAAAATCTACAAGCATTTCTTCCTCATCTTCACTTTCAACCTTCTTTTTATATTTCCCATGTACAGGACTTTCAGATGGCTGTTCAATTTGTTGCTGAGAGATTTGGTTTCCAATACAACTTAAGGATGTTTCTAGCTTTTCACTATCGTTGGCTTTATCATCATTGTTAATTTCGTTTTGATCTTTAACACTATCTAATAATGTTACTATCTCCTTGCTTTTGTTAGCTTCATCTTCACTGTGACTGTCCTTCTTACAATCATTGTTGTCTACAATTTCCATTTTCTTTGTCATGAAAGAAACAGAAGTGTTCTTTTCAATATCCCCATCTACAATTTGTTGCTCTTCACCATGTTTTGTTCGCTTATTAACAGTTTCTGTAACTTCTGGTACATCAGTCCAAGATCTCTTTTGAACATCTGTTTGGATTTGTTTCCTTTCATCACATGATGTGTTGCCCCTTACAATTTCATTTTCCATGTTGTTCTGCTGCAAATCAACAACTGATGAACTAGAAATTTCTAGCCTTTTCTCTGGTTGTTTCTCTACATCCTGGAATTTAGGGAGCCTGGAATGTAGACTAGGCACTTTTGGATGCATTATAGCTACACATGTAATACTGGCTTCAGTGCAGAAGCCTGCCACCTGTACAGAAAAAGTTAGCAATCAAAATTATGATTAAATACTGGATTATGCCTCAAAATATTTACAATTGTTATTGTAATAAGACCTGACCTTCGATACGACATGCAACTTACTTGTGAGCTTGAATCTTGTCTGCCAAAGCGGAACAACTGCACAGCACAGTGAAGCGACGGTGGCCATCTTGGGTGTGGCGTTAGAATCTGTGCAAGTAATACATGATAGAGCTCCTTTCGGCAGTTGTGCGAATTGTAGGGCACAGGGAGGTCTCGGTTGTGCTGGTGAATTTTCAGAAGCTGACTCACTGCAAATTCTTGAATTACCTGTAATCAAATTCATTTGAATAAACAAAATTGTTTCCATTTTAAATATAAATATAGCAATTCATCCCATAAAAATTGCCTTTAATAAATGGTTTTTAAGGCAGTATATTTTTTCATTGTCATTTTGTGAAGATATTAAAAAGAAACTACTGCAATATCAAAAGATTGAAGGGATCATGGTATATGTGTTAGCATAAAATGCAAGATAGAAAGGGTCAAATTTCTTAAGGATAAAAATATGGACCTCATTAAATGAATGGATATTTGGATATTTTACAAATCATAAAATAGATGCAGACAGTATTTAATCAAAATCAAACTGTTGAAGGTCTTTCTGGATAAAATAAAATTACCTTATGTTGAGCTGGACTCAACTGACATGAAAGTAACAGAATTCTCAAAACTGAAAAAAAAAAACAAAGCAAATGCATATTTTTTTGCACAGTATATCTGATTACAAATCATATATCTACAGTATTTGTTTTTATTCCACTAAAATGTAACATGGGAGCTAGCCACAGATAGAAAGGCGTTTTTCTCAATGGGTGAAGGCGAGTCGAACGGCCGATCAGTGAAGGCAGGGGAACTGCATCCTGCAGTAATAATATCGGCACTGGGGCTAGAGGCACGCTCGCCTATGATTCTGGTGGTGGAACAAGTCTTCTCGGATAAGGACTATAAACCGTAGGCCCAGTGTACACAATTGTCTTATGTGCATTTTTAAGAGCCCAGTACATCTTTCGAGACAAGTAGTGGGTTAACTCGGTGTACTGGTCCATACAGCCCACTACCCTGCAATTATGAATCATTATGTCCTTCACTGGATGTACCTATGTAAATGGTGGAACTTGATCTTTGAGGGTGTAAACGCTACGTCTACAGACGACGATTAAACGAGCAGATGGGGATGATGAATGCCAAAACAATAATTTGAGACTTCTGTACTTATAATTCTTTATATAATAATAATAATAATAATAATAATAATAAAATTAGTAATATTCATCATCATTATAAGATAACTTTATCAGTAATAGAAAGTCTCACCTTTAAGAGCAGCCTCACAGATTTCACTATTGGTCAATAAGTTGACCTGTTGATTGCTGAATCCTTGACCTATAACCAATGACCCAACTGGATTCACTGGTGGAGTGCAGTCTTGAATAATTAAGTCAACCAACTTTTCTACATGACCTTCGACTCCTGTTGCTGTTCCTAACGCTGTTATCCATTTTTCAAGAACAGTATACAATTGTGTACGCAAGATACTAAACAAACGGTAAGCAACACAAAAATATGAAATTGGCTGCAGAAAATTGCCGACAGGGGATCCAAACCAAGGGGCCCAAACCAAGAGGCCCAAACCAAGGGGCCCTGAATGTCATTCAGGGTCCCAGACTAAATGTTGGAACTCGGAGGTCCAAGTGAAAATTTCCACCAATCCTCGTTGGCACTCTTACTGTCTGTCTTAACACTTCAATTAAATTATATTAGCACCAAAGAAATAAATGAATAAAGGAACTGTCTCATTAACCTTCACAAACTTAGATTTTGCTTATATTTCCTACATATTTGGCAAAGAAAATATTGTTTAACTTTCAGTTGGAAATTAATAACAAAATAAAATACTCTATACAAATTAAGCAATTAAGCAAATTTTTTGTTGCGGTTTCAAGTTTATATTTAATATAGGTGGCAGTACTTCATTTTGACTGTTTATTGATTTTGATGTAGATTTGTTGTTTTTCATTCGATGACCTACCTGTAGGGTTTCTGAGAGTGTTTTGCCTCTGAATTTGTTGACTGTAAAGACTGAAGAAGCAATTGGTTGATAGTGTGTCCTTCTGGTATGAGATTGCTGCGGCAGCTAGAATTAGAATATTGGTCCCAACATCTCATTTATTTATTTGACTAAAATACAATAAATTCAATCAATACAATAGAGGTCTCCTTCCAACTAAAGACCACTTTTGGGACCTGCACTTTGATGGTCTTTAGCAGCTTTGATCTCTAATCAGAATAATAAAAATAAAACATTTGTGAATTTGGAACAATAGAAAAGTGGTCTTTAATTGGAAGTGGTCCTTAATTGGAGGGGTCTTTAATTAGAGGGAGACCTGTACAATTATAAATACAGAATCTATATTATGACTTTTTGGCTACCATTAAAAGGTACCCATTTATACTACAGGCTAATGAGAAGCATAGAAAAGTTGAAGGACATAAGCAAGGTGACTTTGCTGTTTCACACCAAACACGTGCACTTGATCAGCTGCTTACAAATGTCAACGATACTATTTCACAGTAATAGTGGTTCCTTGCAGTATTCATCCAATTTTTGTAAGAAGTTTTCTTTTTCAACATTAGTTGTTACCTTGTGATTAGCGCTGATAATATATCCAATGCTGCCCTCTGTAGAACGAATAGATTTGCCAACAGTACAGAATGCTCAGTAGACTTCAAGAAAACATAAGACAACATTGTAATAATAATAATAATAATATAATAATAATAATAATAAATACAATTTATATAGCGCACATATCCACTTAGAATTGCTCAAATCATTGAATTATGTATTCTCAAAACAGTTTTTCAGTGTTCTAATTCTAATAACCAATATTAATATATTTCAATCTTTACCAGCATATAAGGTTGAACGGTGAAACATCTACAGCAAAGACTGATCACCTCAGGTAATGGTACCCTAGCAACAAAATCATACGGCCATCTGAAAAGATATTGGAAAGTTGTGATACTACAAATATACAAACATAACCAATCATAAATATTTGTATAAAATTGACAAAAACATTATAAACATGATGCATATATAAAAAAGGCTATGTGTTAAATCTAAGCAAATGGCAAAATCAGTTGGATGTAAAAGATACAACATTGATAAAATGAGTATCATGAAAAATACATTGTCAAGTTTTATTAAAATATTACTTTGGTTTTTTGGAGTTTGGAATTACAGCACTGAACGGCAAAGATGGAGGCAGACCATCAAAGTACAGGTCTCTTTCTAATTAATGACCCCCCCCCCCTCACTCCATTGAAAAACCACACTTCTACAGTCCCAATTGAAATGAATCATATTTTTGATGTTATTTTTAAAATTAAAGACCATAAAAACCCCAGTCCCAAAAGTGGTCTTTAATGGGGGGGGGGGGGTAGACCTGTTTTTAAAGTTTCAGAAGGTGGTTTCAAAATCTTACTGGAGCATGTTGCAGATACATGAGCACAGAACATCAAAGTGATGAGCAAGATGAAAGGTTCTTGAAGGTTCAATGTCAGAAACATCTGAATGCCTTATGCCTTCTAATGATGGCAAGAAATAGCTCTCTGGTAATAAAAGATAAACCAGTGTCACATACTGTAAAAATGCACTATATTGGAATTTTCATTTTAGAGGAGAGAGCAGGAAATGGAATTGAAGGGACTAACGCCCTTTCACACTGACACTATATTGTAAATAGTAACAACTAGTAACCTTATAACTGACTCTGTGTAGTGTGAACATCCAAGTAAAACAGGGGTCATCTGTGATATCTCGGAAGAAAAACAGGCTTTGCCGAGGCCCGTTTTTCTTCCGAGATGTCCAGAAGTTATTCGGTGCGCATGCGTCCGTAATGCCACCAGGCAACCAAGAACACATTTATGTAGCGTGCTAGGCTTACCCTAGAGATCTAGGCCTACTGCTATTCTTCCGAGATTTTGCATGATTTGGATTATTGTTTGTGTGAAACAAATAAACACCTCAGCAGATCAAAGTTGTTACAACTTGTTACTATTGTTAAAAGTTGAAACATTTTCTGTTGCTGTGTTAAAAGGGTATTAGGCTATGTAAAAATTTCAACGGTTTAGTACACACACAGTACCTCCCCTCTATTAATGGCTCAGACACTTATTAATTATGTATTATTACTTTGTCATCATAGGCTATTGTAATGAGTTTGTTTTTCTTTTACCATTATTGACATAGCTATATATAATAACTAATAAATATAATAGCAGATATTTTAAATAATCTTATAATTATTATTATACATAATAACTGTATCACCAATATTCTTAAAATTACTATTCAAATTATCAATATTGATTATAAAACAGTAAATAGTATCATCATCATTTAAGGATTGTCATCCCAAAACCAGTGTACTGTCACTAAATGTTAAACTGAGTAATTAGCCTAAGAATGTGCCAGTATTGTATACTTTAGTACAGAGAAGCTGTAATACTTTTACTCTACCTTTAGCAGCAGGAAGTGAATTCCAGTAAATGACCCATCATTTTAAAGCTTATAATGTGGAGAATATGAAAATATTGAAAGTCAATTGTCTTGTTTTGATCACTGATGCTGGTTTTGGCATGGCAAGCCCCATTTTGTCTACAAATTCAACTGTTTCTCACCAGTTTCTAGGCCATCATACAAAGAAGCAAGGACACTATGAGCCGAGACAAGCAAACGATCAAAGTAGTGAGTCCAAGCCTCGGTATGTTTGATTCCGGCATTTCCTCCGCCTCCAATCATGGCCAGCAGGGAATAACACTGTGAGGCTGCCTATGCAAAACAACAAAGTAATCCTCTTTATATAGCAATATACATGTCAGCAATTTGTTAGTGATATAAAAACGAACATCTGAAATGCTTAGTCAGTCTGTAGGCTAAAATGGTAGCATTCACTCCAAAAATAAAAAGACAAACAATAATTAATCATATTTTATTTTGCATATATTATTTTGCATACACCCTTTAATTGGCTGATAAGCAATTTTAAGGATTTTTGTATTAAAATGTTTGTTGAATGGCCAAGGTTAAAGCAGAGGCCCGCTTTAACCTTGCAAGCCATAATATCGGCGCTGGTTCTAACAGAACGCTCGCCTATGGCTCTGGAGGTGGAACAAGTGTTCTCGAGTAAGGACTATAAACCGTAGGCCCAGTGTACACAATTGGCTCATCTGCACATCTTTTGAGATGAGTAAGAGGTTCCCCCGGTGTAGTGGTCCATCTCACAACCCCTACCCTTATCCGGATGCTGAATAGGCGTTGATGAGTAATGCATAGAATAGAAATCAGAAAAAATTTTTTTGTTACCTTTGTTTTATTGAAATTTAGTAATTTATTTTATCCATTTAAATAGGGTATTTAATGCTGCAATTAAATTTTTGTGGTTTTCCAGAACTTTTTTTTTCAATTATTAAAAATGTTTATTAATGAATATAAGCTAAATGTATATTTTTCTATAAATAATTTGGAAAATAAACTCCGGTAGCTCACCTTAGAGATCTCAGGATTACGGTCGCTTAATGCAGGCAGTATCATATCCTCTATCTTGGTCTTGAATTGACCACAAGGGCCAGGAAAGCAGCGCATACAGGCTCCAAGCAGTTGGAAGGCAGACACTAACCACTGTGGAATAAAGTTATTCTTTGAAAATTTTGATTTTGATTTTAAAAACTGAACAGGCCACACATTGAATGAGAAAGCAATAGAATGCAGACACTATTTTGAAAGATTCCTAATTAAAATAAAGGCACCAGTCTGAAACCAATTCAGTTTGGATGTCATTGTCCCAATCCATACCATACATGCAATAACATCTTATCAGAATTAGGACCTAACCCATACCATACATGCAATATCTTATCAGAATTAGGAATTTGATTAAGACCAGTGTATCAATAGCCACTACCTAGAAAAGGATTGGCACCATCTCTGTAATGACAGTGAAACGCTTAGAGGCTTTGTAAAAGCATGAAGCGCTATAAAAGAACGACATATTATTATTATTAATATAAATACAGTGGATATATTTATGAAACAGTAAACTGACGGTTATACTGACTGAAAACCCTCAGCTTCTGCTGTTTGTTCTGCCATGAGATGTAACACATGGTGAGTAAAAATAATGACTAATGCTGTTAATAGAAAGTGTCATTTCATCGTAGGTTTATGATAACAAAAACTTATCCACAAGGTAAAATATACTTCAATATGTTGAACAAAAACACTATTTAAAATACCTCTTTAGAGTCTCTTAATAAACAGAGGATTAGTGATGGCATGACTTCAGTAGACACTTCTCTTGACATCTCAGAGAATTGCGACACTTGCTGGAGAATTTGCATCATCACTGAACAGCCAACTTGAAGAACTTTTACAGAGTTGTGCGACTAAAACCAGAATGCAGAAAAGCAATCAAATTTATAATTTTAAAAAAATGCAATTTTCTTTTCGGTGCAGTAATGGATCCTTTAACTAATTTTAGCACAACGTTTCAAGTACAACAAAATTACATACAAACATAATAATAAAAAAAGAATTTATAAAGCACAATTACACTTTAATAACCAATAAAAAAAAGTGTTACATCACAGTATAAGGTAAAAAATTAACAGGAATTGAAAATAGAGGTGTAGCTTATAATGATCGAGATGCTTGCTTTTCAATTCCAGGGTTCTGGGTAAAAACTATTTGACATCAGCATTTATGCACCACCCCATAAAAACCTCATATTGAGATTTATAGGACATTACCACATTTCTTAACAGGGACCCTGAATTCCAGTCAGTTTTCTGGGAAAAGGTGGAAAATCACTCACCTCTAAAAACATGGTTTAAATGTAAAATTATATAAAGCCAGACATACACTGTCTCAATGGTCTTTAATCGACGTGATTCCATAGAAAACTCAATGTGACAAGGAGCGCAACAGATCGTTTTTAATAGCAATCCACTCAAAATGCTCTCAGGACTGCAGCGCATTTTTGAGTACTCACACAGAGCGGAAATGGAGTCGTTGGCTAATGTGGTGTGTGCCTGAATCTACGTACCTGTAACACTTGAAGTAGTAGAATTCGCAGCCATGACATGCAGTGTTGGCTGAACACTTCACTGGAACACTGCTCAGTAATCAATCTCAATAAACACAATGCCTCTAATCTGTAAGTAACATATACAGGTATTGCTTTCCATGAAAAGACAAAAAATGATCATAGTGAGAAAATTAATATAAAACAAAATCAGAAAAACTTCCATAAACCCACACCACCGTTATATAAATTAATCATGGAAGGCAGAGGATAGACGTATAATTGTAAATAACAGAAACAAAATAACATGTACCATGATTTATCCACTATAAGAAAGGTATCATTAGACATGACCATGCTAATATGAGCAAAGTACAGACATTGGTTGCAGAAACTAAACAATCAGTCTGAACAGAGTGCATTAACTATTCAACTGATAAAAATTAGTTCAAATACAAAATTGAATTGGATACGCATTATACAGTAATAATATCATCAAATAAAACAAAGCACCAACATCAACTGATGTTAAAAACCAAAGGCACCATGCATGTAAAAAGGTATGTTTTAAGTTTACCTTTAAAAATAGCAACTGATTTTGAACTAAAAATGATCTGATCAAAGAAAAAATTTATCTGATTCCTATAATGCAGAGGTGGGCATTAAAATTGGTTGGAGGGCCAAAGCAAAATTTTTATTCAAATCTGAGGGCTGCACCCAAATTTTGATGTTTCAGTGCACTTCCAAAAACCTTTATACACTGTTTTATGGACACTTTTATGCTCTGTTTCGATCACCGATGACGTCATGACCAGACTGAAGTAACAACACAGTCAGTTGAAAAAGATCGCTAATTGTGATCAAAACGACCAGGTAAATACCGATGTTATTTTGGTTCATGCATAAATTAAAGTTTAACAACAATAAAAATGATCAGTGGCCATAAGATCTGGTGTTGTTCGCAGCACTACAAGCAACAATCTGTGGAATGGTGGCAAGTTATTTCAGGCATATTCAGGAAGAAATTTTAATATGTTTACATTCCAACTCCTGATTTGGTCTGGCAAATCTCTTGATATCCAGAATTGTGCATGCTAAATTTTCCAGAATTTTCAAACAAACATCAATAAAAACTAAAAAGACTTAGCCATTCTATCAACAATGTGGCGTAGAAAAACCATCTAAAAATACCACCCACAATACAGTAAGTTGGAAAATGCTCTTAAAATGAATGTTGGAACAAAATTTAAGGGGGTGGATCAGGTTCCCTTCACAAGCCCAGTTTAATTTTCAGTTTAAGGGGTAGGAACATCAAAATATGCAAGTGGGTTGTTGAGGTGCTTTAAATTGTAAGCAGCATACCTGGTCTTCCTTGAGTTCAAAGCGGTGTTTACTTTGCCAATCCAGTCTTCAACATTTTTTGACTGTGAACATTTTGAAAACAATAATTGGTGAAGATGTATAAAGTAAAGAATGAGGATAAATGATTACATCATTCTAATAACATTGGTAGGAGCCCTACCCTTGTGGAAAGGGTCAAGCCGCGCACACCTGCTTCAACCATGTACAACCTTCAGCCGCCAAATTCATCTAGGCCTACTTTCTCTCAGCTGATTTTTTATCATCTCATAGAGTTGCATTTTCCATGCAGTGCATATTCAAGCATTTACTGTACGCATAAAGGGGTGCTTTTTCATTGCAAAATGTGTTTAGATCCTTTTTTCGATAAAGCATGGTCACACAAATGGGTCACAAATCTAGATTGATTGCCCACTCCGGGGGGAAGGGACCGGGACGTGTCAACAACTTTTTTTTTTTTTTTTTTTTGTGTAGAACCTAGACTTTTCAAAAACTGAAATGTATTACTTACGAAATTTTCGCAGTCAAGTAGGGGCCTACTCTAGGTAGGCCTATGCCAGTAGGCTAGGCTATTTATGCCTACAGTAGGCTCTACCTAGGATACGCCTTTTTCACGAATCGGTAGACATCTTGAAGTGATGACAAACATTGCGAACCAGCGGTGCGTAACCAACAGAAATAAGATAAGCTTTTGGGCGGATTTTTTTGACATCATGCTATTTAAAAAATCATAACTCTATAACGGGGCGTCGTATCAAAAAAAAATTTCCAGCAAAATGTTCTTAAAAGACTAGTCTACACCACTATATGATTGAAAAAAAATTGAAAAATTTTGTTGACCTCTGAAATCAAAATTGAAAAATAAAAGCCTATCTCAGTAGTGTATTAAAATAGGTATATGCATTACAGTGCTGTGCTCTGAACTAGCATTGTTTTAGTTACCATATGAGAGTTTCCTGTGTTAAAAACATGATTTACTATACTATACCTCTTTATAAAACATAACTTGTACTTTGTAATAAGAGAAATATGTATATTATCGCTACTTGGAACAGTAACAACTCGAAAGTCCTATGCTACCGCACTGTAATGCATTGGCCTATTTTAATACACTACTAAGATAGGCTTTTCTTTTCTTTTCTAGACTGGTCTTTTAAGAACATTTTCCTGGAAACACTTTTTGGATACGACGCCCCGTTATGGAGTTATAATTTTTTAAATAACATGATGTCAGAAAATCAGCCCAAAAGCTTATCTTATTTCTGTTGGTTACGCACCGCTGATTCGCAATGTTTGTCATCACTTCAACAAGATGTCTACCAATTCGTGAGAAAGGCCTATTCTACGGCTCGCTGGGGGTACTAGCTAGCCTACTTCTATTCTAGGCCTTCATTCCTAGCTAAACCCCATCATTAACTGCAAGAAAACAGTCACTACATTTCTCCTCCAACCCCGTCAGTCAAATCCTGGCAACACAATTTACTTTATTGCCGTTGTGACCTGATTCCGGCCTAGGCCTAACTAAGGCCTAGGCCTAGGTAGGGTATCACCATCACCAATCAAATCATCGATCATCAAGTGAAACACAGACCCCAAAGGAAACTGGTGGCTAGGCCTAGCCTAAGCTTAATCAATCTGGAGGTATATATTTTTGAGACTTTAATGACAAACCGATGTTTGAAGTATCTGTAGCTCAGACACAGCTCTAATCACACTTGGAAGTGTATTATCATCCGAATTTCGTCGTAAAACAGCAGAAAACAGTGTCGAAGTGACACCCACGTGTACGTCCATGGTATTCGCAAAAAGTAAGGTTGGAAGGAAAACTACGGTAGCTGCGATTACCTCTCTGTAAATAGTGAACAGTTTTAATCAGCGTGGGTTGCATTTTGCATGGTTTCCATAAAAAAGAGCAGTGATGATTTTAGCGAATAATAGCCCTCTAAAATTGGTTGTATAAAGAGCTTTCTATTATATTTCTTTCTACTAGTTTTCAAATACGAATACAGTTTCCCTGATCTTCAACACGGGGTAACCATTGGCGGATCTGAGTGGGTGTCAGGGCTCCTGATCCCCAAACCCTCCTTCTTTTTGTGGCTCATCGGTTCATGGAAAAACAGATTTTTATTTTCTGTATGTATATACCGGTACACACAGGCCTATTTACTGTAATAAAGAATGAAAAATATTTACCTGTCCATTTTTAAGAGAGAAAAACCTTGAATTTTGAAGAACTTAAGTCATTAAAAGACACTTCAGAAGTCAGGAAAGCTCATTCCCGCAATCTAGAAATCAAAATGTTCCCGGGGAGTACCCAGAAATCCTTTCTCAGGGGCGGATCCAGAGATGTCCGAAAAGGAGGGGTGGGGGGG